AAGACATGGAAAAGGAGTCTGGGCTGAGTGCTGGCGACGCGGAGCTGCAGGGTGGCTTGGAGATGGCAGGGGTGGAATAAACCCTGAAGCGGCTGCAGAGCCAGAAGGGTATGCAGGGGATCATCGTGGTGAACACGGAAGGCATTCCGATCCAAAGCACCACGGACAATCCCACTGCCACATAGTACGTCAACCTCACGCACAACTTCATCTTGAAGGCAAGGAGCACTATGCGGAGAAAGTGACCCTCAGCACAACCTCACCTTCCTTCGAATTTGTTCCAAGAAAAATGAAATTATGGTTGCACCGGATATAGGGACGATTTCCTGATTGTGATTCAGAATCCAACTGAATAAGCTACTCGGCCCCTTAGGTTAGTCCTTAACGTAATCCCCTTGCCCCCCAGTGTTAATCATGCCAATCCACTACAAATGGAATCGTACGCTCGAACCAAACCAGTGACCAAGGGAGAGCTGCTGCCTTGCCCACCCCACCTATGGAAGGAACCCCTCTGCCGCACCAGTGGCTCCCGCTGCCGGACCCTCTCCTTCCAGGAGACCCCTCCCATGGCACCTGGGGGGGGGCGGGCGGGGCAAGAGCTGTGAGGACCCCCACTCTGCTTCCTCCTGACCTTCCGTTCACCTGTCACCCTTGGAAAAGCCTGTTTTTCTTTCCCTAAAAATAACCAAAATGCTTACTTAAAAAAAAAAAAAAAGACATGAAAAAATAATAACCATTTATAAATTATCAAAGGTTCAAGAGGGAGAGAGGGTGGAGGAGGGAGGGAGGGGAAAAAAATGAGGCGCTCATACCAAGGGCTCAAGTATAAAGAAAATGTTTTGAACATGACGATGGCAACAAATGTACAAAGGTGCTGGACACAATGGATGGATGGTGATAAGAGCTGTAAGAGCTGCCAATAAAATGACTCAAAAAATTAAAAACCTATAAAAAGACTAAAAAATAAATAAATAGAAAGGTGAGCACCAAAAGGATCCAGTTAAACAGGATGGTGAGCAGGACACTGCTCAGACCTACGGGGGCACAGCTGGACGCAATCTTCCTGGCAGGCAGAAACACCCATCACAATAAGGCCCTGCGCTAGGCTTGGGGAGTGGGGGAGGGCGACAGGGGTGGAAAGAGCACCCAATCCCAGAACTGAAGGCACGCACACACACAGCCTGAGGCTGTGTCTCGGGGCTCTTTCTAGAAGCGTCCAACCACGGAGTATGGCGATTCCAATTACATGTGTGTCCGAGTATTTTCGGGGAGAGTGCCTCATCTGGTATTCGCAGAAGTCCCAAGACTCGGCACACAAGGTCAGCCTGCAGGAATGCTTTCATGTCTCTCCAGATCTGGAGGCTCCAAGGCCAGGGCTCCGGCACAGTTGCCTGGCCACACCAAGAAGGGGACAACCAGGGAGGGCTCCTTCTTGTCCAGATCTCCCACGACCTCGTCCGGGCAGCAGCTGGCCCTGGCAGAGGGTGCCCAGTGGGCCGAAAGCCCCTGCCTTACCTGACACGCACACCGCACACAAAGCCAGGAGGGCCTGTCTGAGGTCTGCTACGTTCCTAAGGAGAGCTGGCTTCACTGACCACATCTATGGTGCAGCGTCCTGGTGCCAACCCTTGGGCTGGATGCCTCATGACTTCTCCCAATGGCTCTGGTACTGCTCACCCCACTTACAAGCCTCAGGCCACCTCCACTTCTCAACCCCCGTCCGTCTTCCTTCAAGACACCCACTTGCAGCTTGGCCATCTGGTCTGAAATCCTATTTCTCCTACTTCTGAGGTTGCCCATAAAACCACTACCATTGAGTCAACTCTAACTCATAGCAACAATGTGGGGCACAGGAGAACTGCCCCTGTGGGTTTCTAAGATGGTAAACACTTTCTGGGAGTAGAAAAACCTCATCTTTCTCCCACAGGGTGGATGGTGGGTTGGAACTGCTGACCTTGCTGCTAGCAATGCCAACTCATAGCCCACTATGCCACCAGGGCTCCTTGAGGCCCAACGTTGCCAGGAAATCAGAATGCGAGACCTAAAAAAGGTCTTTAAACTACCTGGGAGGCCTTGGAGAGGTTGCTGGCTCAGGTACAGACCTCTCTGCCATCAAGCAAGTCACATACGGGGATGTTTTGGTTAGTCC